GTGAGGGCGGGGCGGCGCACCGCCATATCCGCCGTACATGCCGCGGCCTGCGACGGCGGTGGCGGCGAGGCGTCACGGGCGGCGAGGGCGAGAGCGAAAGCGGCGGCTTGAGAGCGGCGGCGGCGAGGGCGAGGGCGGCGGCGAGGGCGGCGGCGCGAGGTAAGGTGCGGCGCGAGCGGCGGCGAGAGCGAAGGAGAGCAAGGGGGCGGCGAGGGCGGCGGGGAGGGAGGCATCCGCACCGTACCCATACATGCCTCCGTACATGCCGCCTGACGCCGAACAGCAGCGGCAGGCTGATGAGAGGACGCGCAAGAGACGAGAGAGCAGGCCAGGCGAGAGGAGGCAATCGAGAGGAGGCGAGCCGAGAGAAGAGGAAGCCGAGACGAGAGAGGAGGGGAGCCGAGAGAAGAGGAAGCCGAGACGATGGAGAGCATCACACCGTAGCCGCCGCCGTAGCCGCCGCCGTAGCCGCCGCCGTAGTAGCCTCCCGAGTAGGGGTAGTATCCGTTGTAGTAGCTGCGAGGGGAAATGCGGCGGCGAGTGCTCAGGGCGGCGGCAGCAGCAACAAGGGGCACTGCATCCGGACGGCAGCGCAGTCCACGCAGCGGAGGGGGAAACCGCACCCGTTGACGCCGAGGCCGAGCTCAGCGGTGAGGTCCGTGCGCGGGCCGCCGTACATCGACATCGAGCCGTACCCGTACCCTCCAGAGTAAGGGCCTACATGAGGGCGCGCATCTGTAAAACAAGTGGCCGCGCCACAACTTTTGCGAGCATAGAGCAGCAGTTGCACCGTACATCGAGCGGGAGAGTCCGTACCCGCCTGCGAAGAACGGACGGTGCCGTTGTGAAAAGGGATTACGCGAAATCGCGGCAGAATTTGGGAGGTGGCTGTTGTGGACTGATGGAGGCAGCGGAACGAAAAAGGGCGGTGGCCGTTCACCGCGCATCATCGTCATTTGCATGACCGGTGCCGCCTGGCGCGCGGCGAGGGCCGTCGTCGCCGCGGCCTTTGGCGTGACCGCCGCGGGCGTGAACCGCAGGGCGGGCGTCGCGAAGAGCAAGGCCAGCATTGTTTCCGAAGCCGATTTGGGAATCTTTGGGACAAAGATCCTCCAGATGAAGAGACGGCAGGCGACCGCCGCGTAAACGTGCATCGTCAAAGCAGCCGCGCGAGGGGGCCCAAGCAAGGCTGTCACAGAGTGTGATGGCGATCTCCGGTCCGGTCCCGTGCCGGTATGTCCACGACCACGTGCGGAGGTGAGGTGACGTGGCGGTAGTTCATTCACGGCATATTCTGCCCAAATACGTAGAGATTTTTATTAACTTCTTTCTTCAAATACGTGGTTGCAACCCGGTGTGCACTGTGCAGTTAGGGTAGGAGAGCTACGGTAGGTACACGTAGGGGGTTCTTCTCTCGACGACGAGATTTTGGAGATATGATTGATATCTTGGCAGCACACTGGGTATCAAGGATTCCACTCTTGAGCACTTGAGCACTGACTGGATAGGCACCATGTGCTGCGCCTGGTAGCGGCCAGAGGGCAGCTTGCCCACGTTCTTGTAGCTGGGCTCTCCCCCCCTTTTCTCGCCAACCTACTAAATCCTGAGAGTTCTCTGCCCCGTCGAAGTGCAGAATAGGCGGCACACCTGCTTCCCCCATATGGCGCTTGCGCCGCGATCTGCGAGCCAGTTTCAAGCGGTGCGGATGACCACCACATTCAGCTTGGATGGCAATCGGGCGAGATCAGCGACATCAGTTGCTTGGGCCTTGACAGGAAGGCCATCTCCATGCAAGTGCTACACCTTGCTCGACAACTTGCGCTGGACGACCTACATACCCTGACAGAACCACACTCGGCAGCGCAGGCAGAGGTCGTCACCACCTGCACAGCGGCGTAGAGTGTAGCATACTTTGCAGTGAGGTAGCACCTAGCGTACGAGAGAGCAGCAAGGTTATCATAGCTGTCTTAGAGCTATCGATCACCAAAACGTGTGAGCTGTTCTCAACAAGATTGGAGAGTTTCTGTCGCAATGGCCGAAACAGCCCCTTTGGATTTCGAGCGTCATCCCTGGCGTCGCTGTTCGTGCGTCCTGCAAAGACGCATGCCCTCTGCGCCGCCGTGTTTGACGCCCCTCTGGCCGATCGTCTCGCGTTTGCCATCTTCGCGAGGATAGATGCGCTATTGCTAAAGTTTCCGTGCATGCCCGGCTCTTTCCAGTCCGCGAAGATATACGAGGGGATCAGGCGAGCAACACAAGGTTCGTCTCTTCCCTCTCGCCAGAATGTCGCATACGCCAGTTGCACCTCGCTGCAGTGCGCGTCACCAACCCCAATTCGCACAGGGTACGGAAAGTCTTCCACATTCACACCACCCCTTGAGACTTCCGTGAAACCCGCAATGAGCATCGACGCTGTCCGGCCAGCTCTGCCCAGATAATCTCGCCCAGTCAAGACGTAGGTCACCCCATCTTTGTGTGTCACCCACATGAGACGTTGGACTCCGCGGATTGCATCTGGGGGCCAAGATGCTGGATTGTGGGAACAGAATCCGGTCTGGTTGCATCCCCGTGCTGCACATGGGTGGTGCAGTGAGAGTTGAGACAGCGTGAAGGCTGTCTCGCCGCAGTGCACTTGGAGCACTTGGAGTGCAGTCCTTATCCGCACATCCAGCGGAGCTAACCCGCCGCTTTTCTTCTTTCTGGCAGCATGAGCGGCGCCATCCGCCCCTCCCTCGTGCTCTCCGACCTGGCTCAGGGCAACCTGGCCTCACTACTCGCCCTCCTCTCTGAGCTGACGCGCAGCACGTCACGCATTGCCCAGCTCGACGCGCGGCACGACACCGAGAGGCAGGACACGCTGCTCACCTGGGCCGCTTGTTACGGGCAGGCCGAGGCGGTGCGGCTGCTGCTCGAGGGCGGCGCGAGCGTCGGGGCGACGACTGGCGGCGGCGCTTCCGCGCTGCATATCGCGTGCCAACAGGGCCACGTCCAGTGCGCGCGGCTGCTTCTCGAAGCGAGCGCGGCGGTCAACCAAGCGGCGGGTGGAGGCTTCTCGCCGCTGCGCATCGCGAGCCAGCTGGGCCACCTCGAGATCGCCCAGCTGCTGCGCGACGCTGGCGCTGACATCAACCAAGCCACGCAGGATGGTGGCACGCCGCTGATCATCGCGTGTCAGAACGAGCGCCTCGAGATAGCGCGGCTGCTTCTCAAGGCTGGCGCGTCGGTCAACCAAGCCACGAATATTGGCGTCACGCCGCTCTTCATGGCGTGCCAGCACGGCCACCTCAAGATCGCCAGGCTGCTCCTCGAGGCTGGCGCGTCGGTCAACCAAGCCAGGGACGACGGTACCACGCCGCTGTTCATGGCGTGCCAGAAGGGCCACCTCGAGATCGTCCGGCTGCTCCTCGAGGCTGGCGCGGCGCCCGACCAAGCTGCTGATGACGGCGTCACGCCGCTGGTCGTTGCGTGCTACCAGGGCCACCTCGACGTCGCCAAGCTCCTCTCCTCCTACGGCGCCTCCCGCGCCGCTACGCCCTTCGGCACGACCGTGGAGGCCGCAAACAGCCGCGGCCACGCCGACCTCGCCGCCTGGCTGGTCGCCAGCCGCGGCTGGACGCCGCTCCAGCACCTCGAGGCGTTTCCAAGACTAGCGGCCGAAGGCGTGAGTGCATTGCCCTCACGCCCATTGCCCCTCTTCCGCAGGCGCTCACCTTCGACCGAGCGCGGGCGCTGCTGCGCGGCGGCGCGGACTCTTCGGCCGGCGAGCCTTCTGCCCTCGAGCGGGCGCGCGTCCTCTGCTCGTGGGGCGAGTCGGATCCGACCGCTGCGGCCGTCGGTTCCAGAGTCGAGATCCGCTCTCTGGTCTCGCGGCCGTCGATGAACGGCAAGGTCGGCGTCATCGTCTCCGCAAACGCTTCGACGGCCCGCTTCGGCGTGCGCGTGGCGGGCGAGGCCAAGGCGCTCGCACTGAGGCGCGCAATGCAATGGTCTCTCCCCGACTCGCCGGAGCCTCTCTTGAATACCCCATGCCTCTGCCCTCCCTCAGGCCGGCCAACTTGCAGCCAGCGGCCGAGGCGGTGGAGGTGGGCAGGCTCATCCTCAAGGCGGCGGAGTGGTCGCCGCAGTCGCACGAGCTCTTCCCGGAGCCGGCTCGCAAGCGGGCGGTCGAGGTGATGCGGCTGGGCTACCTGATCGCCTGGGACGAGGCGCGCTTCGACAGCCGCGAGGGAGCGGCTCCAGAGCTGGCTGACGTCTGGCGCGGCTTTGTGCTGCCAAGGGTGGTGGTGCGACTGACTGCACAAGCCACAACGGTCCTGTGTTTTCGTGATCGTGGCAGGCCAAACGCAACGTGTTAGATACTTTTTTTGTAGAGGGATACGCAATAAGCTATACAGGGCGGCAGTCGACTCTCCTACCAGTGCTGTCCGTGGCCTCTGCCGCGGCCCCTCCATCGCCCCGCCCGCGCCCCCCTCGCCCACGCCTCACGTAGTACTCTGTTGCCCCCGTGCCCCGTGCGACCGTCGAGGAGCGCGGCGCGGCGCTCGTCGCCCCTCACTGCGCGCCGTTGCTCGGCGAACCGCGAGCGAAAGCTGCGACGCGCTGGCTGCTGTGGAGCTGCTGCTCTCACCGTTGGAGCGGGCGGAGACGGGGCAGCTCGCGCGGGCGGCGGGGCGGCCCGGCACCTGCGGGGGGATGTGGCGCAGCATGCCTCCGAGGGAGAGGCGGGCGGTGGACGAGGGAGCAGCGGGGATAGAGCTTGGGAGAGGGGGGAGGCGGAGGGGAGAGGGGGGTGAGGAGAGCGGGGAGGGGAGGAGGGGAGGGAGAAGGGGGGCATAGGAGAGCGGGGAAGGTGAGGGGAGGGAGGGGGAGGGGAGGGGAGGGTGAAGGGCAGGGGAGGGAGGGGAGGGGGGGGGGGTAAGGCTGCCCGGCCCACCTCGAGCGTCGAGGCGGAAATCCTCACCCTCTGGGCCGGCGCGGGGGCCCCAGAGGGTGTCCATGCGGGGGGGCGATGGGGTCCCATGGCCCGCCGCAGGCGCCGATTTCTTCAGTTTTTCTTTTTTTGCGCGATTTTTCAGTTGTTTTCACGGGAATTCGGCGTATCTAGATACTTGCGGCCATGCTATCACGCCTTGCGACATCCTTTCGGCGCTGCTGACCGTGCCGTGCTGCACAATTGATCACCTGCATAGCTCGCGGCCTTAGTATCAAGCATTCAGTGACGACCTGATCGTACGGCCAGTAGGAAGGTCAAGGTGTCCTTCCATCGTGTGCACGCTTGGTGCAATGCGCGTCGCCTCGGATTGGCTGCTGGCACTCTCGAGGCTATGCCTACACAGCCTCGCGCGCATGGGCAGTCATGAAGGACCACGCACCTTCTCAGGACAGCGCCGGTGCCTCTCTCTTGGACCGGCAAACTTTGTGGTCTAGTGTCACCAATATGGGACCAGTGCGGCATCGCGCCATCGACAGCTCTGAACTGCGCCTCACCACTGACCGGGGAGGCCGCCAAGTGGGCCAGCACCGGTCGCACATTGTGGCAGCAGTCAGCAGTCCATGGCTGATAGCTAGAGCAGCAGCGTCAGGGCAGGGTCGGATCGTGTCAAGCCTCTCGCCCGGCCGGCCGCGTGCAGACGTCGGCCTGTCTGCTGTCTGGAGTGATCTGTCGGCGGTCAGTACGACCGATCAGGTTGGAGGTTACTGATGATTGGAGGGTCTATCTGTGTGTACTCTTCGAGATCTCTCCAAATCTGCCATCTAATCAACCGTAATCATTCGGGAAGTTGGTGCTAATAGAGACTAATAGAGCCGGAGCCCCGTTTCCGCACTGCGGCGCGGCGCACGGTGCCTCCGGGGGCCCCCGCGCCCCCCCAGAGTCCTCACCGCAGTCGAGGTTGGCGCGCCTGCGGTGCGAGATATGGCGAGATTTGGCGAGACTTGGCGAGACTTTGGCGAGATGAGGCGCCGTCGAGGGCTGGCGAGTGCCGGATCCTGCAAGAGGCTCGAGCGAAGATGGCTTGTTTTTTTCCGTATCCGATTTTTTAAGATTGGGGGAAGGACAGACGTGCCGCCTTTGCAGGAGTTCGAGGGGGGGGGGGGGGGGGCATCGACACGCGGGGAGGAGCTGGCGACGCTCGACAGGGGGTCCTGCCCCTGTGTCAGTCACTCTACGAAGCATGAACTCGGCACTTGGAGCACTTTTGGAGTGCGGTCATAAGCCTCACATCCAGGGCCGGGGAGCTAAGAAGCGCACCCAGCGGGCCGGATGATCGGGAGCGGGTTACGGGCAAGAGAGCCCTAGCCCTGGGGGGTGCGCGTTCGCAGGGAAAGGGCCGTAAAGTAAACACGGTCTCCGCGGGTTAGGGCGTAACCGATTCTTCCGGCATGCCGGCGCGATCGAGGCGAAATGAAAGCCGCGCCTGGGCAGGATGACGCGCGCGTTGCTGGAGTCAGAGGCGCCCGCCGAGGAGGACAGCGAGGACCCGGTGCTGGGGTGCGCAAACAAGGCACCACCTTCGCTCGCCTCACCCGTGCCGTGTGTAGCAGCTCTTGCCCCCGAAAACAGGCGCGAGACGATGAAGAACTTTTCAAAACAAATCGTCGAGCGCGGCGTCTCTGTTCGGAGACGGGAGGCCATCGCCTCAGCACAGGCCCTCACGCGATCACCGCTGCTCGCCTCTGAGCGTAGGTTGGAGGTCCCGCGTGCCGCGAGGCGTCGGTCCCGTGAGCTCTCTCTCGCTGAGACATCCCAGCGGGCTGCTGCATTGGACGAGTCGGCACCAACGAACTGGGAAATCACACCAGACCTAATGAAGCTGCCGTGGTCAAAGGTGTTGCAGCGGCTGCCTTCCGAGAAGAAGGCGGAATGATTGCAGCCGCGGCAACGCGGCAGCCGTTCCTGGGGGGCTCTGTCAGACACCCCCATCTGCGGCACGCGCGCTGGCCAGAGCAGCCCCGACCCGGTGTGGGGCGAGTTTCCTCCCGGTAGAAGAGTTTTGTAAACTTATCGCCCCAACGTCAGCACGCCAGCCGCTTGCGCCTACCAGGGCACGGCCGGGCGGCACACGGATGAGGCGCCTCAAACTCCGCCGGTCGCTCGAGCATCCTCGGCGAGCTCTGGCACAAGTAGACTCGCACCTGCCACGGCGGGGGTGACACCAGCCAGGGTGAGTGGCAGCGGGGGGGGGAGGGGGGCGAGGGCGGGTCGGAGCCTGGCAGAGCGCATCGCCGCCCGTCGCCGTTCTGATCGGGTAGCTGTCCGCTGAAGGCAAGAGGCCCCACTCTACTGCCTCAGACTGGATCCTCAGGCGCTGAAAGATGAATCCGAGGGTCTGCTCGAGGTTTCGCGACGTCTGGGGGACGTCGTCCCAAAACCCGGAGTAGGAACGGGACGCCCAGTGGCGCGCGGCCTGCGGGCCAAGAGGGCGGGGCGGTCGGCGTGTCGGCTGGGCCCCAATGTGAGACACGAGTGGCCAACCCACCGCCCCTACTCACCGCCGCAGTGAGCAGCAGCGTCTTATCGTTGACGGCCGGCGGCGCCAAGGGGTCCCTGGTCGCCTCCCTGTCTTGCCCAGCGCCGTGGGTGTTGCAGTTCTTGGAGAAGGCTGTGCCGTTTGCCGCCCTCTGGTGGCATTGTATTCTCTCCCAGAACATCTTTGCGCGGCACGCGGCCAGCATGGCTGCAAGCCGCGCCTCGAACCAAGGCAAATCGAGGGGGCCGAGCCAGTGGTCGTTGTCGCTCGTCTGCAGAAAGAAGGAGTACCTCCGGGCGGCGAGCGCCAGCCGCGTGAGCACCTCGAGGCCGTGGAGCTTGCGCAGCACGTTGCGGCCGGTGACGCGGCGCGCTGGGTGCCAAGGCTGGGGCTCGAAATAGAGGCCCAGATACGGATTGTACATGTTCATCACGCCTGCGGGTCGTAGGAGCGGCACGAGGGCGCGGCTCAAAGCAGCCGCGCCGTCCGCGCAAGGGAAGGGCGCGATCCAAGACAGAGACAGGACACACAGGGTCACAAGGGCCATCTCTACGGCGGCCCACGCTGGGCACCGAATCGCTTCAGCGAGGCGCCGCGAGCAAGCTCGTCCGAGATGTTTGGCATTGCACCGACCGAGAAGTAGCGGAGCTGTCCGCCTGCCGCCTCCACCCGTTGACGCACGTGGGCCTCGCTGATCCAGGCGCCGGCATCGGAGGCTTGGAAGCCAGGGGGCGGCGCAACCCACTTGTGGCTACCCTCCGAAGCGCTGCTTCCCGTCCGTGCTAGTTCGATGAAAAAGTCCACCTCGTAGCCGGCCCGCCTCGCCGGCAGGAGGATGCGCCGCAGCTTTGAGTCGAGCAGGAAACGATCGGTCACACCCACCAAGATGACCGCGAGTGCCTTTTCTGCGAATGCGGCTTGCCCGGCTGATCGCCGCCTCTTGCTTCCTGTTGCCGAGGCGGGCTGCCCGGGCTGCCGCGGCGGCGGCTTGCGCGCAAAAGGCGCGGGCCGTCGAGGCGGATTGAGGCCGACACCCTCTACGTCTTCGAGAATCCGTCCGGGCTGGCCGTGGACCGCGTCAGAGGTGACGGGAAAGAGCTCGTGTCTGGACTGTGCGTTGGCCCTGGCCCGGCGGAGCTCGTCGCTCTCCATCGCCGCCGCTTCAACAAGTTTGGCGCAGCCAAGTCTGTTCATCGTTTCTCGCGTTGGGCCACGCCGGAATGTTTTTCTTTTGTGTTCTGTGCCGTGGCGGAACAAAAGCCATGTGCGCGCGCGCCTCGCCCGAGCGCAGCCACCTGCGGACCTGGCCAGCCTGTTCCTGGCTCGTGCCCAGCCTCTCCTTCCTCTGCCGCCGGCCTCGCAGTCCCGCCCGCCAGCCATCACGCTGCAGAGCCTGCGTAGACGCCACAGACGCCAATTCTGCAGCCCACAGCCCTGGCAACTGAGGGCGAGGGCCAGCAGTATACGACGACGACGGCATCTCACACCCCGCGCTGGCCAGCGCCATCAGCCCCTCACGGCCCGGCCCAACCTTCCCTTCCCCACCCTCGCCTCCAGTGCCTCCAAATCAAGCCGTCGCACCTCTCTTCTTCAGCGAATGCAGCGCGGCAGCACCACGTCAGAGGCCGGGCCGACTGGCGGACCTGCATGCCCAGCCATGCCCCCCACTCCCCACCCGCTTGGATCGATCAGCTTGACAGCTCCACCAGCTCCCACCACCGCGTGTCGTGTCATGAAGCATGATAGATAGACATAGACTATCGTCATAGAAAGCATGAACCATCGAAAGGTCTGGTCTCCAAAAAGAGCTCTCGGCGGGCTGCGCGCGCCGCGCCCCGCCCCTTTTGCGCAGCAACACCTTAAATTTCATGGCCCTCCAAATTCGGGTCGGAGCGCAGCGGAGTGGGGCCCCGAGTTTGAAAAAGGCGACGGACGCTTGCATACTAGCCTCCAACAACGCCTCCCCGGCGCAGAGGGACCCCGGAGGGATGCTCAACCGCCCCACGCCACGCCGCTTGCGGCGGTCCTATTCCCAGCTCGCGGGGCCACTTCTTATTTGAGTACCTTCGATTATGAAAACAAGAGTTTTGACCGCGCAAGATATAAAGGGTGGCTAAGGGCTCTGCCCGCAAGGCGCCCGCGTCGCAGACGCGGTACCATTGACAAATCTGCAATATACCCCCACACGAACAAATAGCAAAATCCGAATACCGTGCAGAAACCATGTGATGTCGGCCGTGGACGGGGGCAAGCCTTCAGCTCACAGCTGGTGCCAGACATTCGATTGTGTTGACAAGATTCGTAAAATTGAAGCCAAGAACGTCCGCCAAATCCGTGCTTTCGGAGCAACTTGAGGGAAAGCCGCTGATCGAGCCCAGCGTGCCCGCGGCCGCCTCCCGCGCAGCACCGCCGCTGAGGACGACACGCTGCGGAATCGGATCGAGCCCATGGAGGAGGAGGGTGCAGTCGGCGAATCGGAGGAGGAGGAGGAGGGCGCAGTCGTCGACGTTGGCGTGTCTGACTCAGAGGAGGAGTTGGAGGTGCTCCAGCAACCTAACCTGATCCAGAAGCTCGCCGACGTTGTCAGGTTACGTGCGTCATGCGTGATCGAGCTTTCCCCTGACCATGCCCGTGATAGCACCATCACTGTCGCCGTCCTGGTTTTGAACGTGGCAGCTAGGCTCTAGGGACTCGGTAGTCGTGACCGCCCCCTGAGTGTGAGGAGCAGGAGAGAGAGAGCTTTGTGGTGTTGGTGTACGCAATAACGGGACAGGGTGGTTGTTCTCTCCATCTCCCCTTCTAGCTCTTAGCATGAGCTGCGCCCTGGTGTCCGACCCCTTTTGCGCAGCAACACCTTAAACTTTTAGGCTGCCCTCCAAATTCGGGTCGGAGCAGGTGTGTATTCTTTTTGCTTGGGGCGGACAGCATGATGAAATTCTGGAAAAACCTGACCGGCCCCTGCGGTGCCCCTACCTACCTACCTACCTACCTACCCTACTTATGGGAAACTAAAAAAGAAATCACGGTATGGGTGAAGGTGGGGTACTATACCAACTAAAGTGATGGCTGGTGGTACTCTCCTGCAATCACAGTCCTTCCTGTGACATGGCAGGCCACTATCAAGCCCTACAAGCACCAGATCACCGACTTGGGGAGGGTTGACGTCGTGATTTTCGCCGAAAATTTCTTTTTTTGCTGTGAAAATTCCGGCGTGAAGAGAGGGAAAACCCCGACGGGAGCGCCCAGACCTACCCTACCTACCCCGTCATGCTGTCCGCCCCAAGCAAAAAGTATACACACCTGGTCGGAGCGCGTATAGCGGAGTGGGCCCCGAGTTTGAAAAAGGGCGACGGACGCTTGCGTCCTAGCCTCCAACAACGCCTCCCCGGCGCAGAGGGGCCCCCGGAGGGATGCACAACCGCTCCACGCCACGCCGCTTGCGGCGGTCCTCTTCCTTCCCAGCTCCGCCGAGGGCCACGTTATTTTTGGCGCCCCCGACTGTCAGAGTTATGTCCGCGGGCGAGCCACCTGTGTGCCCTGTGGTAAAGGACTTTCTCGCTCGGCAGGGCATCATCGCCTTCGCTGGTCTCGTCTTCCTCGGCTGGACGTGGGTCCGTGTGCGTCGTGGTCTCGAGACCCGCGACGTGCGGACGTTTGCGGCAGACACGTCCAAGCAGGCGGGGCAACAGGCCATGGGCGGCGCCATGATGGTGGTGCTGGGGCACAAGCTCGCCGAGGACGGCTTCTCGCCCCTCGCCTGGTACGGTGCGCTTTATCCCTTCGAGATTGTGCTCACCACCGGCTTCACCGGCGTGTTTCGGCGGCTGAACGAGGTGCGCCACGCACACGAGGGCCCGCGCCGCCAAGGGAGCCGCCGCTACACGTCTGCGCCGCGCCGCGCCTTCTCAGGCACTCGCGCTGCACATTTCCACCGAGAAGCCGTGGCTAAGCTGGGCGCAGCCGCTGGCCAATGTCGGCCAGTACGGGCCCGGAGGCCGGTCCGACTTTCGGTGCTCGTGGTACGCGGCGCAGCTGCTGCAGGCCGCCTGCTCGCCCCCGGCCGTGTGGCGCAGGCTGCCCTCCCGCCGCCTCCGAGTGCCAGCCCCCGCCGTCAGTGCCTCCGCAGGCGACGCTGCTGATCGGGCTACCTGCGAGGCTCTGCGCACTCGGGTTAGTCTCCGCGTCGCTGCTGCTGCTCCCCTCGCCGCTGAGCCCGTGCCACCAGCTCGCGCGCGCATACTTCCTCTCGGGCTGGCCGTGCGGCGTGCAGGCCTCACCCCAACCCCAACCCCAACCCCTCGGTGGCTGTGTGGCGCGCAAGCCGCCGCCATCCTACACGCCTGCCCCAACCCCAACCCCCAACCCCAACCCCTGCAGGCCGCCGCCATCCTATACGCCTGCCCCCTCCTCGGGGACGCCGTGCAGTTCATCGTCATCGACCGGCTGCAGGCGGCGCAGCCCCCCTGCTCGGGCCCAGGGCCCGCGGAGCCCAGGCCGGAGCCCGACCCACTGGCCCTCCACGCCCGAGACGGAAGCCCGAGACCAGACCCTCCAAGCCCGTCGCTCAACCTGCTGCAGGCGGCGCGAGGCCCGGCGCCCGGCCGCCGCTCCCTCGGCTCGTCCCGCCCCTCCGTGATGGCGAGGGTAAGCCACGTGCTCGCTCCCTTCTCCGCGCGCCGCTCCTCGGACGGGTCGCCGCACGACGACGAGCTAGGCAGGCGCATCCTGCTCACGCCCTCGCAGCCAACCTCGCACGACCCCTCCCCGGACGGGAGCAGAGCAGCAGCCGCCGCAGGGCCTCCGGACCACAGACTGCCGTGACGTCGCAGCGCCGCCTCGCCGCCGCCGCCACCGCCAGCCACATCATTGTTCCGCGCTTGTGAAGAACAGTCTACAGTCAGGTGTCAGCCGCTCGGACTGGACACCTCTCGACTCAGAGTGTTTAAGTCATTTACTTGAGCTCCCACAGTCAGCTGCTCACTGCTCAGCTCACGCGCGCGGGTAACACCTAACACGCGAGACCGGACCACTCGCTCACTCGCGCCGCGCTCGGCTCTGACTCGCCACACCGCCCCCCAGCGCTCAAACTCAAAGCCAAAATACATGTAGACAGCGGAGCGCACGTATGTTTGGGTCACTTGTGACGGCTCTCGCACACCGCGCCGCGAGGTCGCATCGGGCTGGACTCCGCCGAAGAGCAAAACGAGTCGTCGGCCGCGGCGCGTATGCCCTCCGACTCGCACGCCGTGCCGCGGTTTCCTGATAGCGGTCCGCGCCGCCTTCTCCGCCACCAATCCACGCCCTTGCGGGCGGCGACGCACAGCGAGAGAGCGAGCGACGCCGCGCCGAGCCAGACGCCGCAGAGGGCCGCCCTGCGCCCGAGCCAGCCGCAGCTGCTCGTCGCGCCGATGTGGCGGGGGAGCGGCGGGCCGGGGCGAGCGAGCGGCGAGGCGGCCGGCTCCGGGAGGGTGCTGTTGGCGGTTGTTCCGACGGGCGGGGCGGGGAAGGTGAGCAGCTGCAAGGCGGCGACTCCGAAGGCGAGTGCGGCGGCGGCGAGCATCGGCAGGTCGAGGAGGGCCATCTCGCCGTCGAGGAGGCCTCGCCGCTTCTGCAGCGCGAGGAGAGAGGCGCCGAGGAGGAGGCCGAGCCCGAGCTTGAGGTGGCGCGCCGCGTCGTCGTCGTCGAGCTGCGGGGGGAGGGCCGCGGGTGAGAGCGATCGCCGGTGACGAGGAGGCTGGGGTGAGGCTTCGAGGGCGACCTGCGGGTGGCCGAGGAACAGGAGTCCCACCCAGCCGACGCAGAGGCCCCACGAAAGGTGCGGCCAGAGCAGCGCGTCGGCGCGTCGGCGCGGGAGCGTGAGCAGCGCCTGCGCGAAGCGGACCTCGGCGGCGCCGGCCGCGGCCAGGAGCAGGCCCATCGCGAGGTGCTGCAGCTGGGCGAGGTCACGCAGCGCAAAGTCGCACTTTTCGGCGAACGTGACCGACGGCTTGATCAGCCATCCAACCCACCCAATGAGCCACAGCCCGCAGGCGCCGGTCGCGCCTCCGGCGAGCAGGAAGGCGCGCCGCAGCGACAGCGCCTCCAGGAAGAGGCAAGCCCACACGAGCAGCACCGCTATGGCCAACACGCCAAAAATGCGGTGCGCAAGCCACACGCCGTGCGACCATTCGCCCTGATCTAGCCAGGGCACGGCGAATCTGTCGCCGCTGCATTCCATTAGTGATGAGGGCGTGGGAGTGTCGCTCAGGCGAGGCAGCAGGCAGCGTGGGAGCGTCGGCCGCAACGCGCGCACACCGAAAAGAAGAAAAGTAAGCGCAGTACTCCCGCTCGCGCGAATAAAGGATAACGGACACTGTCACTGATCACAAGAGGGAGATTTCTTGTTGGGGTTCAAAAAAATCTCTCTGATCACTGGCATTGGATTGAAGATCCGTCACCGGCCGGGTTTGCCGAGCGGCAGCGGCGGCGGCTCGTCGAGCGGGAGCGGCCCCGACTCGTCCGCGGGCAGCCCGAGCTCTTTGAGCGAGATCTGGCCGCTGCCGCGCGAGAGGGGTCGCTGCTGCGACTCGTGCGGCGCCCACCCGATCAGGTACACCACCTGAAAGGCGGCGGGCACGTTTCCCTCCTCGTCGCCGTAAATCTCGCCGTAGGCCGAGGCGGCGGCGAGGAGCGGGTCGAGGCCGACCGCGGAGCGCTGCAGGTTGGCGGCGGACTCGGCCATCGAGCGGAGGTGGTGCCACAGCGTCCACGCGTCCGGGTAGTGGATCACGATCGTCTCGGTGTCCACCGTCGGCAGAGCGAGGCCCGACGCCTGCAGCAGCGCTCCAGCGTCCGCCATCGAGACGAGCGGGGACATGTGCTGCGAGACGCCGCCGCGCCGCTCGAGATCGGCGAGGACAAAGGCGGACCGCATCTCCGCCAGCGTCTCGCCGCCGAGGAAGGCGCACAGGAAGAGCCCGTTCGGCTTGAGGGCGCGCCGCACCATCTTGAGCGTGCCCGGCAGGTCGTTGATCCAGTGGAGAGCCATCGAGCAGACGACGAGGTCGACCGACTCGCGCTCGAGGACCACCTCCTCCTCGTCCAGGCACGCCTGCTCCACCTCGAACGGCGTGCCCTCCGCCCCGTGCACCGGCGGCGACGGCCCGGCGGCGTCGTCCGCAGAGCGGCGCAGCATCCGCGCGGAACAGTCGATCTCACGGAGGCGCCGGATGCCGCGGTCGTTGCCGAGGGCGCCGAGCGCGCGCCGCACGTGGCCGGACCCGCAGCCCAGGTCGACCACCTCTGCAAACGAGTAGGACTCGTGGATGTCGTCGAGCCGTTCGACCAGCCGGTTCGCGACCTCGTCGCGCAGGTAGGCGTAGCGGTCGTAGTCCGATGCGGCGGCGGCGGCGTCGCGCTGCCACGCCTTCAGCCGCCGATCGAACACCTGCACGCTGGAGAGGCGGCGGACAGGCGGCCGGAGGCCGCGGAGCAGCCTGGTCGCCGACATATATTTTTCTGCGAGTGTTTCTCTTTTTATCTCCTTTGAGCTACGCCACCTTCGACAGAGAGATTTTCCAGTCATGTAGCTCTTACGAACATACCCGAGGGTGAACTGCTGACAGGGTTTGCGATGAGGAGCGATCCGAACGTGGTATTCGGGTGATCAGATCACTACTAGACACTACCGCGCCGAAGCGCTTGGAGCAAGGCCAAGGGAACTGCCACGTATGCGGTATGGGTCCCAGACTAGCACCCCACCTCGCGAGCCGACGTTCTGGCTCAGCGAGGTTGCTATTTTTGAAAACCAACATTTCTTCACCTTCGATGCCTGCATTCAGTTGTGCGCCAAAATTCTCCTTCTTTCTAATCCCTAATCGAACCCTGGTAGCTTCTGGCCAGCCCGCAGGAAGGAGCCAACCATTTGGCGCTCGTTTAGCAGTCCGGGCGGCCCGTGCTGTGCGACCAGTTCAGCCGGTACAGAGTTTGCGAAGCGGTTGATGCAGAACCACCTGCGCGAGAGGGATTGGGGGGGGGGTGCTCACTGAGTGGCTGCGCATGGCAAGCGGGTGCAAACGGCGCGCATCACTTGTTCGAACAAAGCCACGCGTTGCCCACCGTCTTGGGCTGCAGCCGACTGAACTTCTTGATGTTGGACGCATTCACAAAGGCAATCACAGAGTAGCGTGCCGCGAGGTCGAGTGTGGGCGAATCGAGCAGGTTGTGGAGGTGTTCGTTTGGGAAGTTGATGACATTGCGGCAGTCGAATCTCATGCCGCACTGCTCCTGGACCACGTAGGATGTATACGAAAGCGATTGCACCAGCCGGAGCAGCGTCTCGGCGGCGGGGTGATGCGCAGCCAGCTCCATACTGAACACAGGACGGTCACGGGCAAGGGTCGATCGCATTCCTGACACGGCCAGGGCTTCCATGCCCTCGAGGTCCAGGTGAGCGAAACCGAGCGGGCTGTTCCACTCCTCCACCAGTGAATCGATGGTGCGCACCGCAACATCGTGCGCCGGGTTGCTGTTGTCGGTCCGTGCCGCTGATCTCTGCTGGATGTCACCAATTTGTATTGACATGTCGAATCCAACACCGCCTTCCGTCTTGCCATGCAGCACGCCGGACGCGTTGGAGACAGCCGCCACATACGTGCGGAGGTTTCTGTGAGCTTTCATGCAGCTGCCCAGCGTTCGTACGAGCTTCCGGGACGGATCGACGGCGCGGACCGTGCGCTCCGGCTGCTGGCAGGCATACATGCATGACCACGAACCGTCACGCGCTCCCACATCGAGCACGTCGCCCGAGCGAATGGCTCCGGGCTCGTTGAACAGGCCGTGCACGATTGCGTTGAAGCTCAGCTCCGACATTGGTTTGTTGCACAGGCCGTTTCGCAGAGTGGAGCCGATCTCGCTGAGCAGAGCCGCCACAACGACAGGCAGCATATCGAGTAACTTGAAAGGGCGCTGACAGGCGTCGCAAACAACTGCTCCGGTGTGAAGATTTCGTAGACAGAGAGAGAGAAAAGAGAGACGGAGTTTGTGTTCTCTAGGCCCCTAAGGGCCCTACGCGCGGCGTGAGAGCTCGGAAGCGAGAGGGCCCAACTTGAGAAAAGAAAGAAAGAAAAGAAAGAAAACAGGCAACCCAAGGGAGGGATGGGAGGACGGCACGCCGCCACCACACAGGGATTTTAAGGAGAGGTGTGTGGTGCGCTAGCCGTATCGTGCTTTTTGGGTTGGGTTGGGTTGTTGGGTTGGGTTGGGTTGTTCCGCGTGAGGTTGGGTCGTCGGCGCGAAGGGTGAGGTCTCGACCGCCGCCGCTCACGCCAGCGGACGGCCACTGCCGGTGTTTTTGGCTTCGCCACCGTCCAAGGCGTGCGCCATGCGCTCGCCGGCATCGAGCGAGCAACGTGTTCGACCGACCGGCTTGCTGTGTGGCCGCCTTCTTGTGGCTCTCGTCGAGAGCGTTTTGCGTCCCGGCGGGTGGGAGAATGTGTGTCGTTGATGTGTCACTGTGTGCGTCACATCGATGTGGGTAACAAGCACGGTCGATCCGTCAAAGCGATACACTCGTTCCTATCACGCTGGAAGGCTTGCACGGAGCTCTGTGCCGGCACACAGAAGAGCCGTGCGGCAAGAAGAGCTCGATGGGGAGCGAGAACTGCCAGAGGTGCTCACCCAGGTTTCGGAAGTCCGCCTTGATGCGGTCAGTCCCCCCCAGGTTTGACCGCGCAGCTCGCAAGACTCGTCGAACACTCGTAGCCTTTCTGCGCCTCTGACTCTGCAAGCTATGCGCCGGGAAGAGCAGTTTATTCGCAATATATCGACGAGTTCGAGAGAGCCACAGGCTTTCGCTCGGGAGGGATTGAGTGCGTCGCGACGGACTTCAGGCTACACCTGAAAATCTGACGGTTCTCGCTCCCCATCGAGCTCTTCTTGCCGCACGGCTCTTCTGTGTGCCGGCACAGAGCTCCGTGCAAGCCTTCCAGCGTGATAGGAACGAGTGTATCGCTTTGACGGATCGACCGTGCTTGTTACCCACATCGATGTGACGCACACAGTGACACTTCAGACGACACACATTCTCCCACCCGCCGGGACGCAAAACGCTCTCGACGAGAGCCACAAGAAGGCGGCCACACAGCAAGCCGCTCGGTCGATCACGTCGCTCGCTCGATGCCGGCGAGCGCATGGCGCACGCCTTGGACGGTGGCGAAGCCAAAAACACCGGCAGTGGCCGTCCGCTGGCGTGAGCGGCGGCGGTCGAGACCTCACCCTTCGCGCCGACGACCCAACCTCACGCGGAACAACCCAACCCAACCACAACCCAACCCAACACGAAACAACCCAACTCAACCAACGCACGATTCTCAAGTTGGGCCCTCAGCGAGCTTTGCACGGCGATCGAGGATGGCACGTTCCGCGTGGTGTGACACAAATGAGAGGCGGGAGTGGGGAGGGTACGCAGTGCCCCCTCTCTCTTTTCTCCCAGTAAGCTAAAAGTACGTATTGCAATACACAGCAGGGAACACCCAGCTCCCGGCGGCCGCGCATCGGTGGTCCGCTTGAGCGCCATCCACCCATCCTGGCAACCATCCTCCGCCCGTCGTCCACGTCCACCTCATCCCCGCTCGGCCGCGCGCTGCGGATGCGCGGCTCGCGCCCGCCGAAGAAGCCTCGGGCCATCGCTGCGGAGGGCTCGACGCTCGCTCGCGCTCCTCCGCTGCTCCGTGTTTGCTCCTACAACGTGCTCGCGCAGACGCACCTCGAGACGCACAGCCACCTCTACCGCGGCGCGCCGCCCGACGCGCTCGACGGGCCGACGCGGCTCGCGCGGCTCATCTCTCAGCTCGCCGGCCTGGGAGCGGATGTGCTCGCGCTGCAGGAGGTGGAGCCTCCTGTCTTTGCCGCGCTCAGCCAGGCGCTCGGCGCGTGCGGCGTGCGCGGCGTGTACAAGCAGCGCACCGGCGCCGGCCAGCCCGACGGCGTGGCGGTCTTCCTCCGCACGCCGCGGCTGCAGCTGCTGTGCGTCGAGGAGGTCGAGTTTGCGGCGCTGGCGAAGCGGGAGCCCGACCTCGTTGTGCCCCCGCCGAGCGCCGAGCTCGCGCTGCGGCTGCGCAGGCAGGCGGACAAGGGCCAGGTCGCCCTCCTCGTGACCGTCCTCGACACACAGAGCGGTGGGGAGAGATAGAGCCTCCAGAGCAGAGAGCGACGCCGGAGCGGGGAGAGAGAGTCGAAAGAGCAGGGCCTAGTCTCTGCGCCCCTCGGCTGCTCCCTCCCCGCCCGACACGCCCCGCCCCCGGGCCGCAGGCGCCCGCCTCGTCGTCGGCTGCACCCACATCTTGTTCAACCCGAGCCGTGGCGCGGTCAAGCTCGGCCAGGTGCGAGAGCATATTTTGCTATATTATATCAAGCTCGGCCAGGTGCGAGAGCTCATCATGTTATATTATATCAAGCTCGGCCAGGTGCGAGAGCTCATCTTGTATCAAGCTCGGCCAGGTGCGAGAGCTCGTCACGAGGGCGCAGAGGGGCGCTGCGGCGGCGGGCGCGGGCGTCGTGATCTGCGGCGACTTCAACTGCTCGCCGACGTCGCTGCTCCGCTCCTACCTGGGCGGCTCGCCGGTCGACGCGCCGCTGAGCGAGGAGGAGCTCTGGGACGGGTCGGCAAGCCTCAAGTGGGGAGGAGGGGCCCGGCGGGGGCGAGGCGGGCGTGCGGCGGGGCGGGGCGGAGGAGGGCGCCACCGCGGCGGCGCTCCCGCCGACGCGCCGCGCGTGGTCGCCGCGCCGCACCCGCTGGCCGATCGGCTGAGGAGCGCCTACCTGGCGGCGGGAGGGAGGGAGCCGGATGCGACGACCTGCCACGCCGACGCGTGCGGCACCGTCGACTACATCATGTACGACGCGCGCGCCCTCTCGCCGCGCACGCTGCTGCCGACGCCGTCGCTGCGCGAGGTGCTCGCCGAGGGCGCGCGGTGGCCGTCGCGACAGCGGCCGTCGGACCACGTGCCAATCGCCTGCGACTTGGAGGTGCTAGTGGCGGGGGGAAGAGGGGGGGAATGACTTACGTTTAAACAGATCAAGATGATGTTTGTCGATGATTGCGTGCGTTCGTTGTTCGACGACGGGGGTCTCACACAAAGGCCTCTCCCTCCTCCTCCTCCTCTTCCTCTCCTTCCTCCTAGATAGAGCGTCGCGTCCTACCACAAGCTCAAGGGAGGTGCACTGTGAACGTGGAGCGACATAATAGGCTCGGGAGCTCAGGCCCATCTTCGTGCGATGCGCAGCGCCCTGCTTCTCGCTCTCGCCGCGCCTGCCGCGGCGCTCGCGCCGGGCAGCATGCTCAGCAGCAGCCGCGTGGTGTGCCGCGGGGGCGCGCCCGACATGATCGAGCGCGGCTCAAAAGTGCGCGTGCTGCGGCCCGAGTCTTACTGGTGCGGCGCCACCACGACCCTCATTGCACCATCCTCAGACCAACGCGATGGCGAGCCACGTAGCCTGCGGCGGGCGTCGCTGGTCGCCCGCTGGGCGCACCGCCCCGTCGCCGCGCTCGCACGTCACTTACTGTGGGCCCCACTTCTGGTCAACGCCGCCGCCGCCGCTGCCCGAGCTGCCTCGCCTTCACCTCTGTAGGTTCCAGGAGTGCGGCTCGGTCGCTACCATCGCCAAGGGTGGCGACCGGTATCCGGTGGTGGTGCGCTTCGAGAAGGCGCGCCGCACCCCCGTCCTCGCCAGCGAGTGCGTGTTTGACTGCGTGCCGGCCGCTGGCGGCTGCCGCCCCCTCCCCCGCCCTCCCCCGCCTCCCCCGCCGCCGCGGCCGGTGAGTTTCGCGCGCGCCCGCCACCAGGTGAACTACGCCGGTGTCGCGACCAACAACTTTGCGCTGGATGAGCTTGTGGAGGCGCGTCGTTTCTCTCGCTGCCAGCCCGCCTCCCGCCTCCCCCCCCCCCCCTCGCCAGCGCCCCTATGCATTTAGAGCCGCGCCCCCTCTGCTTCTCTCGCTGAGGCGGACCCGCCCGCCTTGCACAGGTGGAGGCCCCCGCCAAGAAGAAGGCGGCGAAGGCGGCTCCGGCGGCGAAGGAGGGTGCTCCCGCCGCCAAGGCTGCTCCTGCGGCGAAGGAGGTTTGCTGACCCCACGGAAGGGGGGGGAGGGTTCCCGGGGGGACCA